CAAGGGAATAATGCGACTGTCACATCTCTCGGATTTGACGTCGTCTGGAGGGTTAGGGCTTAAATTATCCTTTAATGTGGAAAATTACCATAAAAATAACGAACGCTTGTTGGAAAAGGGCTAGTTGTGTAATACACTTGAAAAACACTTTACTTTTTGCCATTTTTTCCACAATAAATTATTTAAAGGATTAATTGCAGTTTAATTGTTAAAGCAAATTCGTATTATGAACAAAAATAAAAAAATCTTTTTACCATTTTTTTTTATTGTTCTGTAATATATTTCGCACTTAATAATAGTAATATATTTTTAGATGTTGAATTTTATATTTTACGACAAAATATATTCAAAATGATTTTGTTTTTACGATGTAATTTAAAAATGAACAAAACTGCAGTTATTATTTTGTTTAAAAAAACTATAAGCTTTTAAAATATTTCAAGGTTTTATAAAAGTTTAAATTAATGTAATATTTTGACGCTTAAGTTTGTAACCCACTTAGAAATGAAAAAACAATATTCTTTATTAAACTGTACTAAAAGTGCTAAAAAATTTTGTAATTGTGAAACCTAAAAGTATGTTATTTTTTCTGAATTTGAAAAATTGTATACTTTGAACGGCTGGTCTCTATTCCATGGCCATCCAACGAGCGGGTTGAGATCACACGTTTCCCAGCTCAAAATTTACACAAAAATCCTCTTTATCGTGATTACAAAATACTTACACAAAATGTTCATGATTGTTTACATTTTCATTGAAGAGGAGCGAGATAAAATCCGAGATGCAGACAGATAGGCAAAACATTCTCAATGAGTCGAGTTGTTGATGTAGAAGGGGGAAAAAATTTTTGGTGGAAAAACCGTCAATGGTGGCCATTGTAATGAAAAAAAAAAGCTAAAACAATATCATATGCCAGGGAGTAAAGAGCCATCATCGTAACCTATTAAAAAACCTTATTATACTTAATAAAATATTGTTGCCATAGTTCATGAAACAGTTCTACAACGATAGGAAAATGTCTTCATCAATACATCATACCATGACATAGAATTTTACTAAATTCAATAGTTTTCGTGGTCTGCTGGACCAATTAAAATCTTTCGATTAATTAAGGTTTTTAATTGAGTTAAAAGAGTCAGTGTCACGAGCGGGATTCGAACCCACGTTATTCAGCTAGATACGCCGCTGCTCTACCACTTAGCTCACGATAACTCAAGCGGCTTATTTAGCCGAAGATCGTGGGTTCATTTTTTTTCCATCCTTTTTGCCATTCATCCAGCATGTAACACTGACTTTTTGATCTCAACTAAAAACCTTAATTAATTGAAAGATAGAATTTTACGTAAATTTCATCCAAACACCAACAAATATCGGTTTTTAATTCAATCGTGTTTTCTGGAAAGTAGTTTTTTTTCTCAGTATTTTGACCTGTTTTTCTAAAACTACTTGATATGTTTAATTTTTTGAAGGTATATCATAATGCTATAGACGGATCAAAAATTTAAAAATAGAATCTGAGGAAAAGAACCCCAACATACGCTATTTTTTAAACAATTGAAATTTGTTTATTTTTCTTAAATTAAACATAAAAGTTGTTTTTCTTATCTATATATTATAAAAACGCTAGAAAACAAACGAAAAAACTTGGCTTTGCTACTTATATTTTTTGAATGTTTGAAAATGCTACATAAAAAAAAAAACTTTCAGCACTATAAATTTGTGTGTATTATTAATCGAATTGCCGAAGAGCAATTTGTCCGTCGCTGGAACACTCTCCGTAAATTTATATTCCGGCCCAGGCCGGACCACCATTCAACAGAGCCACGGAATAGTAGACATCATTCTGTCTTGAGCAGAAGGATTGCTGTTTGCTGGGGTGATTTCCTAGATCGACATTGGTAACTGAACCTGCAATGCAAACACAAGAGCATACTTCCATTTTCTGATACCTCACCCTACCCACTGTCCGATAGGTATTTTCAACCACTATGCGGAAGCAGGTGATCCGCAAGGCAGTATCCATAGCCTCATTCCTTATTCAGTATACTGCAAACGTATCAATTCCGATACAATCCTATTCACAAATGCAGACGGTACTGCCATCTTTTCAGCAAATATCCAGGATCACATATCGTAATTGGAAGAATGTTTCAAGATTTTTTTCCCTTCCACCTCCCCGCCGTACCTAAGGGAGACCCGATACCGGCGGACCACGTCCACTAAACTAATTCAAATGCGATGCAAGTTTAGGGGATCTTATTGTGCTTAACGTCTTCCTTCGACCTTGCCCTGAAAGGGAAGACCCAAGGAAGAAGGGAAATTTTTTTGAAGTGAAAACTTCTTTAGGCGCGCTCAGCACTTTTTTTGTGAGTATTGAATGAGACTGAGCCGTCACGCTCGAAGATGTAACGCTCTTCGGGTAGAATCGGCTCGAGTCGACTAAGCGTGAGAGAGACAGTCAGTAGAGCGAGAGAGAGTGAGAGAGAAATAGAGTCAAAGCGTCACCGCTGTATACGCGCTCGGCCGAACTCGGCACTGAATCCGGACTAACACGAATGAGCGTTACTTGAGGGAGCATGACGAAGCAGTTGCTTTCAGTATCGACGCTAACTACTGTGCGCTTTACCAATACGTTTCTGAAGCGAAAAGTTTTTCAAAATAATTATTGTGAATATAATTATTGAGAAGTTTATGGGCACATGCTTTGGATCTCGATGATACTGTTACACAACGTTCGACTATACTGATTTTATCTGAAACTTGGGTGAACAATGAAGAAAACGTTGATGTCCCGAATTTTGATTGTGTTGTGAAATTCAAAAGACCTGATCGCCGATCTGCAGGTGTAGCTATATTCAAAAATAAGAGACACGTCGACTCTTGTTAGTTCGCTGATGGCTGTCACACTTCAACATTCAGAAACATTTGGATTCAATATATCACCAATTGGCGAAATTTGTGTATCGAAATGTATAATAGAAAATAGACAATAAATTGTAATAGTAGCTATTTATATTTCACCTAATCAAAGTGTAAAAGACATCATCAAATTCATCCACGCAAACTTAATTATCTACACCAAAGTAGGATCTGCTCTTCTCGAAGAATATTTCCATACATTACCAATGATTATGAGTGGAGATTTCAATGTTGACTTCTCCAAAGATACATCAAAGCCTCTAGTGGATTTTTTGAAAACAAAATTAGATCTTAATATGTCCAATGATCCAAATGAAAATACAACGAAATATGAAACAACGATTGACGGAGTTTTTGAGATATTTAGGAAATTCATTTCAATCAAAAGTATTTGTCTCATATTTCAGTTACCATAAACCAATAGTTTCGTTTCTAGAGTCTGATACCAACGACAATCAGTCAGAGCACAATCAAATTCTTACACAATCATAATTGTATGCATTTTCAACGTAATTACATTGTGATTATACAAAATAAAGAACAAAAATTGTATTTCGTATTGTTAATTTACCCTAAATTATGTTTTCAGTTCCACCTTGTGCTCTAGACAACACACCCAACTTTTTTTTCTTATTATTAATTTATCTAATCTAATAGGTCTCCCCCTTGCTGGTTAATCCTTTTGAATACACTTTCTAATAAATATAATATTTTAATAAATAAATAACAATTATGGGTACAAGGAGTAACCAGCCCGGAAACGCTAAGATCTAACAAGTAACTTACCATAGGAAGAAAATGAAGAAAAAAGAAAGAAAAAAAAACTAATCACGTACTTTATCCCCTATAGCTCGGCTAACAGCCTTGAGGACCTCAAACGTCCTCTTTTCTTTAAACAATTCGTTGAGTGCCGGTGGCGAAGTGTGGCGGAAGAGGAGCTTTAGTGGTTCCCTCACACTCTCAAGGAGGGGGCAGTTGAATAATCTGTGTTGGACACTGTCATCAACTCCACAGTTGGGACACAGTGGACTGTTAGCTCTACGGAATCGGTGCAAGTAGGCGTTGAAATTTCCGTGACCTGTCATTATTTGTGTGATCCAGAAATCTGGTTGAAATCACTTTGCTTTTGCTCGGTCCTCAATACTGGGTAGAAACTCGTGGGTTAGCCTTCCCTTGGTGCTTCCGTCCCATCTTTCCTGCCACAAGTTGTCTATCCGAACTGTAAGGATCTCCCGGATCTGCTTTCTAGGTGCAGTTCGTAGCCTTTCCCTATCTGACGCATCCAAATTTACCATTGTTGGCTCGTTTCCATCTCTTAGCTGCCGGATTGCAATTCTACTGTGGAGGTCAATGTCTATTTGTGCACCGGAAGCAAATATGTTGAGGATTAGACTCAATGAAACCGATCCCAGCAAATAACTTTACCTTTGTCGCATCAATTCTCTTCCACTACAAGTATGTTCATGTTCCAGAAGTCAATTTCGTCCATTATTTGGAATTTTACATCGGTACGCATAATTTGGAACCCCCACACTCGACTAGAAAGTATAGAAATGACATATAGAAAAGACTACATAAACTACCCAAAAGACTACTAACAAACAGATCAAAAATGTAACTGCAAAATATAGTACACCCTATCAAGACAGACGATATTGAAATGTGCGGTTCACCAAAGCGTTTCAATATCCAAAAATGTTAGTCTTTTAAGTCAAAAGCATTCCAATCATTCCCTAACCCCCTACATCGCATCCGATCTAGATTTCTACACAGAGCTACAAATCCTATTTTCTTCCAAACGCTAGGAGTCGGAGTTTATACCAAAATAAAAGCCTGGACACCCATCCCAACTTGCTATTCCAAAACCGTTCATCCCGAATCCTTTCCGACTATCCGCTGACCACCAAAGCGTCAATATCCTCGCGACCTCACCCTAGAGCGGAACGTAAAAAGTGTAGTGTAGGAGAATTAATGTACTACTTCTCCTAAATTTAAAATTGACCACTACGTTCAAGTTGCTATAGACGGATGTGGTAAATTTATATACTTATATACATATAAAATACATAACACGAAGGCTATTTTTAGAGATACGGATCATTTTTATTTTGATATAAAAATCTAAAGGATATATCACTGTTTTTATATTTATGATTTATATATTGCCTGGCTGTTAAGTGACTCGGGGCAACTTGGCATCTCCAGTCGTTGAAGAAACCTGTCGACCTCCTGCCAGCACTCGTCCAGAACTGTGGAGAACGACTGGGCTTCTTCAACCGGCTGCTCAGTATCATCCGGATTCACTGCGGGAGCATCTGCGGAAGGAGCTTCTTCTGGTGATTTTTCGACTTTTTCGACCTGGTCGTCATGCGGCTCTATGAGGACCTGCGATTCTCTTGCACTCAGGTCTATTGGTTTGATTTCATTTTCCACGACAGCCTGGTCCGTTTTGTCCTCATCGTCGCTCAGGATTGTAACCTCTACCACGGGGTCTTTTGAACAGCAAGGCCTGTCTTTTTGGACGTTCACTCTGGAAAATTTCTCGTTGTTTTGGCTTAATTTGAAAACCAAATAGGCACAAAAATCGAATACTTACAGCGAACTGACATCAGGATTATAATCCTTTTGGAAAAAGCTTTTGATATGCTTATTGCACATTTTCTTTATAAGCTTGAAGCCGATTTTCGTCTTTTTAAAAGCGCCCGATTCGCAGCCTTTCATTAAGATCCGCCTGGTCGTCGCGTTTGTCAATCTCACTCCGCTTTCTTCCAATGTCGACGTTATCGTCGACACCTTAAGTCCTCGCATAACCTGAAGCTTTTTAAAAAGAGTGAACTCGTCCATATTTTGAAAAAAAAAACCCGATTTGCTAAAAAGTAAATAAAAATTAAAACAACGTAAATATATTTTTTGATTGAAACATGTGATTTTCTCCACTGATGGTTATAAACAAAAATTAATTCATTTTTTTAATTAAGTCTTTTTTTTCTAAGGTAAGAAATAAGTGAATTCACCATTTACATATATCTCTTTTGGATTCATGTCACGTACGGAATTTTCCACCTTTGTTAATATTTTTAAGGTTTGCTTGGAGAAAGTAAAAAGAATGAAAAACAAAACGCGCAACACAATGCATAACTCTAGTTTAAAAGGAAGGATTTTGCTTTGTTTATGAAGAAAAATCTATCCAATATAACGCCCCATTTTATACGTTATAAGCCATGTATCTACAGTCATAATTTGTTATTTGTCCCTTTAAGACCGACATACTGTTGATTTTAAAATAAATTTGCCGTAAAATTGCGCAATGTAATTACGGTCTACATGATATACCCTCGCAAATTAGTACAAATAATTAATTAATTGTTTCATGTTCATCTAAACAAACGTGCTGCCGTTTCGGTTTATTTAAACCGGTCCGTGCATTCGTCGAATTCGCATGAAAGGGAAACTCGCATGGGCTGGATTTTGGGTTGAGCCGTGTTAATGAGATATACTCAATCCCAGGGTCGACGCCGCCTTCAAACGGCATAAAACCCTTTCCTGTCCGATTTAATCATGCCGACTTCCAAATGAAAGTACCGGCACAACTAAAATCTCCTGTCGTTTGCACAACAAAAAGTAATTGCCAATTTAAAACTTTAACAGCTTTACATGTCAAAGAGTGTAACTCAGAAAATTATTTATTTTTTTAAATTATAAGAAACTTTTCACGAACCTAAGAAAATTAATTTATACCTTTATCATCAGCATATCCAGTAAAAGTAAAACAAGACAAACTTCTACGGGTTTTTTTATTTTGTCCTCAAAGTCCATCTAAAATTAAATTCAAATGCTCAACCGCTTTAGCTTTATTTAATAATGATAATTTGGAGATCTTGAGATGCGGTCTGGTGTGACGTAGGTTTTAGTGAAATATTTTCTTTATCGTGTCAACGTTTCGATCTTTATTGAGATCATCTTCAGGGCCTGGGATTTATAAACACTGTTTAAATTTTACAAATACATGTAGAAATTTTAGATTCCATCAAAATATTTGTACTCACACAAAGTGTTTCTTTTCTGTTTCGTTATTGTATGTCGTGTTGGGATTGCCAGTGAGATAATGGTGTTTTATGTTTGTGTGCGTTGGATTTTGAAGGGGTGGGGAGAGAAGTAGGGATAGAAAAAGATTTTTATATGAGGAGTTGGCTTCTTTGAAGTGAAAGGAGCTAACAATGGGAAAAATGGGTAATGGTTCGGCCTGATTATCCTTTCAGGATTATATAGACGGGGATAATTTGGGAAAGAAAGGTTTTCATATCAACCAAGACATTGCATAGAAAGAATAATTAATTGAATGAAGTCATTTGGTAGTTTAGACCACTAAACATAAATGGATTGATAATTATAAATATGACTTTTCAAAACCATTTTTTATGTGGAGTTTAGTGACCGTTAGTCAATGATTATTATTCAGGGAACGTGAGATGCGGTCTGGTGTGACGTAGGTTTTAGAAAAAGATTTTATTTCGATCTTTATTGAGATCTTCTTTAGGGCCTGTTATTCATAAACATTGTTTAAATTTTACAAATACATGTAGGATGTGGGAAAAAAATGAATTTAAGGAAAAAGTGTTTGTTTTCTGCGAAATTGTGTTATTCTTGTGTCTCGTGCTGAGATTGCCAATGAGATATTGCTGGTTTATGTTTATATAGGTTGGATTTTGAAGGAGTGCGGAGGGAAGTCGGGATAGAAAGACATTTTTATATGAGGAGTCGGCTTCTTTGAGGTGAAAGGAGCCGACAATGGGAAAAAATGGGTAATGGGTCGGCCTGATTATCCTTTCAGGATTATATAGACGGGGATAATTTGTGAAGAAAGTCAAATTTTTGAAGAATAAGACTATGTAGAAATGTTTGAGGTAAGGAATGTGATGATTGTTGTATATGTTATATTATATGTATTGTGCGATGTGATGATTATCTATGTATGTTATCGATATCGAATTTGATGATGAAAATGATATTGGCGTAGCTGCGACTGAGTTTACATGTGTTCAATTGATGCTGTGTTTATCCCTGTTATGTAAGCAATTTCTAAAAAGTTACATTTATGTTTTTTTTTGTTCTGTGTGTAATTTTTTTTGATTGTTGAAGTCGAAATTGTGTTTGTGTTCAAAATGGTGGTTAGCCAGTGCTGTAAGATTTTGTTTGGGTTTTTTGCAATCATAGATATGTTGCTTTATTCTGTTGTCCAGGTATTGGGATGCAATACTGATGTAAGTTGCCGGACAATTTAAACAATTGATTTTGTAAATTACGTCAGATTTATTTGTTACTGGTTTGGGATCTATAATTTTGGAAAAAGTGAGTGAATTATTTTATAGATTTTGAAAGCTATTTTAAAGTTATCAGAAGAGAGGAATGTGTTTAATTTATGTGATAAGCCGTGAATGAATGTCATGGATATGTATGCCGGATGTCTGTATTTGTTAGATTTGATGTAGTATTATTACTAATAGTGGATAGTGTTATTGTTGAGTTGTAGTTGTTGGTTATTCTGTTGATTATGTGTTTAGGGTAGTGATTGTTATGTAGGATATGTTGGTATATTTTTATTTTCTTGTGGTGAAAATATTCATGGCTTAGGGTAGTAATTCTATGAAGTAGCCCTTTGGCCTTGTTTATTATTGTAGGAAGAGGATGGTGAGATGTAATTTTGAGGTAGCGATCTATGTTTCTTGGTTTTTGATACCAATCTGTGATTAATGTGCCATCTGGTTGTTTTATTACGAATGTATGTAAAAATTGTTTTGTTGTTTTCGATTTCATGTGTAAATTGTAGACGTGGGTGAAATCTATTAAATGTATCTAACGTAGTTTGAATTTGATCTGTGGGAACTGCTGCCAAAATATTATGTACGTATTTAGTGTGGAAGGGTGATGTAAAAGGAGGGGGGCCGCGGTAGCCGAGTGGTTAAGTCGTCAGACTCTCGGCTAGTAGATCCGGCGGTCTCCGGACTTTTTCTGATGCTTAAGGGGACCGGTTGCTACCCAAACTGAATTAAAAATTTCTAGCATTGTATAAATTCTATAAATTCATATAGATTTTTTAAACATCCTACATGTATTTGTAAAATTTAAACAATGTTCATAAATCCCAGGCTCTGATGATGATCTCAACAAAGATCGAAACGTAGGCACCATAAAGACAATGTTTTTCTGAAACCTACGTCACACCAGACCGCATCTCACGATCTCCAAATAATCATTAATTAACGGTCAGTAAATACCACACAATAAATTGGAACGAAGTGTACATAGTCGACGCGGATAGTAGATTAGACAAATTAGCATTTATTCTTCGATTATTTTTCCTTTTACAAACAGAAAATATAACATTTTGTTCACTGGAGGTGCTTGTGAAATTACATGTATTTTCAATGAAAACTTCCGAAGTCCTGTACTAACATTACATCAATTGCTGTTGTCGAATGGAGAGGCCACTTGTTTATTTTATCGGACCCTAACTGTTAAGACTTTCCCTTCACTTTTTTTTTATTTTGAGTTTACGGAAATACTGTGGTTAACCCCTTCACTCCGACTCTCGGTGAAATTCAAGCAGATCAAGACAGCTCTGCTCAAAACGATATTATGCAGAGATTTCGCCAAGCCGTTTAAGTCCGCCCTCTGTAATTGTACGCTGGAATCCGTCAACCTCCCCGTCCACGCGGTACTTGGCATATTTCAAAAACGCATTAGCACAGTAGCGTAGAAATATAATAGTAATAGAATATAGAAATAGAATAGTAGAAATAGTATAAATTCTCTTTTTTCTACATCCTACATGTATTTGTTAAATAAACAACGTTTGTAAATCCCAGGCCCTGATGATGACTTCAATAATGTCCGAAATATTGGCACGAGAACGAAAATGTTTTTCTAAACCTTCGTCGCACCAGACCGCATCTCACGATATCCAAATAATCGTAATAAATACGACACGATAAATAATTAATCGACGCTGCTAGTAGATTTGACAAGTTGACATTTTTTCTTCGGCTATTTACCGTTTATAAACACAACATATAACATTTTGTTCTCTGTCGACACTTGTAAAATTACACGTATTTTCAGTGAAAACTTCCGAAGTCCTGGTTCGATTATTTACTTAATCTTGGGGAAGTAGTGGAACATTTTATTTTTAAATGTCTGTCTCGAATAAACAGTACAAAATAAATATTCAAAACTCAAATATTGGAAAATATTGAATTTATTATGCTACGGTTTTGCTGAATAGTAATAAAACTTTTATTGGAAATTTCAATATGTAGGAATACCCGTATTGTATAAAGTTGTATAATCCATAATTGGATTTGCTATAGATAGCTTCTTTAAAGCTCCAATCTTTCATCCAAGAAAGGTGAATGTTTTAAGTCTCCCACAAGGAAATAATATGCTACATGCTCAGCCAGGCAGCCCTGAAGGCTTTGTACGTCTACGTTCAACTGGAAATTAACGTGGGTTTAACATCCTGGCTTGAACTTCCGAGTAACGGGTTAGGTTACTCTAATGTCGGTTTCGGGACATGAGGTTAGAAAAGGAATTTAACATGTTTATGGGCTCGGTAAAGAGAAGGCAAAGGTATCCCACGTAAGAGTTGAACTTTCAGCCAAATGTTAAGAAGGTCCGGGTTACAAAGTGACATGTTAGAGACTACCAACGATAATTGGAATTTAATGTAGATTTGAGAACGTGTTAGTAGTTTATCATTTAAAAATGGCTAAATAAAACTAAAAAGGATTTGTAAACAGTACATACATTTTCCGGCAAAAGTATCAAAGATTTACACTATCAGCAGTTATAAAAGTGCTATGGATTACTTAATGATCATTAAGCTATATTCATTAGGGTTCGTGGTCCCATTGACCGAATTATGTTTTTCAATTAAT